ACGTACACGGTTCAATCGGTATATCTTATTTATAAACTTATATAGAGTGAGCAAAGGAAGACATGTTTTTTTAGCAAAGTTTGGGGCTGTCAGATTCTCAATTTTTAATCTTCGAAATTTTTCTATGCATCTTTTTGATCTTTGGACTATTTAAAAAGTGATATCTCAATTTTTTCGAAAGTTGGTCATAACTGAAATTATCGAATTTTCAACTTCTCTCAATAAATGTATTTCGGCTCGACCTCGTGATTTTTTTTTGATTGACCCCTCCATCCAAATTTGGTTTTCTTTTGCAAAAAGAACGAGAGAATTTTATAAGATTATTGGGAGAAGGTCGTTTAGTGAATGATGTAACTTTAATTTATAATGTTAATCGGTCCTGAAGAAACCGTTTAAGGCGTAGATATCAGGATACCGGGGAAACGTCCTACTAGCATGGAGGAGGTACTCAAAAAAAAGAAATACGAGGCCGGGCCGAAATACATATTTATGGCAGGAAGAAAGGCGATGGAGAACCCTTTCATCCAGAATCTTGAATGAAAAATTACAGCGGCACAGTGAAATAATAGCATCCAATCGTACTGTAAGTGAAACTTTAAATTCTAATGTATTAAGGTATGTAAATGTTATACAAAAATTGCCAAGTACTTTTTTAAAGTAGCATTTTTTCCAGAGCAAAGTGTCGCGCCAGTTGTACCCGTCTCTTGAACAATCATAGAGTCTCCAGGTAACAATGTGCACAGGAGCGGGTAAATTGGCATCAGCAGTAGCAAAATTGCAAGTTTTTCGTTGACGCTTCAACCTATACCACTCTGATGAGGGTTCTTGTTCGGTGGCGAGCTGGGGAACAATATGATGAAGAAAACATGGCCCATAAGAGGCGTTTGGTGGAGGTGACATTGCTAGTCGGGCTGAGGTTATGCACAATGGTAAAAACGAACTTTTCATTGCAAACAAGACAGTCAATGCTGCAGTTTATAGGGACAAGATAATAAATAATATTATTGTACCTTTTGCACAAGATTTTAGTGAGGATTTTGTCTCCATAAAAGATAACGCCAGGCCGCATAGAGCTCGTACAGTTATAAACTTTTTAGCAGAAAATGATGTTACATTATTGCCTCTGCCTTCAAAGTCTCCAGACCTAAAGATAATTCAGTGCTATCTGAAGCCTTCTGGAAAGTATGCCAGGAAAAAGCCAAGCTGTGATTGATGTGCGGGCCCCTACAAGGTAATAACAGTATTGTTTAAAGTAACCGTTGAAGTGATGTAAAAAGTTCGTTATTGTCATAAATAAATAACTTAGGTATTTAACCGGACTTCAAATTTTTCTTTTTTAAAATGTTACATATTGTTAATGTTAATTAATAAATTATTTGATATTGTTTAAACATTTAATAGAGTCTATTGCTTATTGGAAGGCATCTCTAATTAAGACGCGTACGCCAGTGCTGAAAAAGAAATATCCAGATAAAAGACGAATAGCAGTGTTGGCCAGCATAATAGCATTTAAAAAATATTTTTTTTAAGTTACTAGCACTTCTTACTAAACCAAAAAAAACTTTTGGTGTTAGGTATGCCACTGAAATACACCCCAATATTAAGTTTAGTAACTTGGATTTGTTCATTAAGCTGTTTAGTTGCATAGTAATCTTTACAAATTTTGTTTAAATTGCATAATGTCAAAGTAGCAAATTTTTACTGCACGCCATTGGAGGCAATAGCGTTCAGTGGATGCTTCAATCTTTTCTCGGGCGCAAGAAATTTCACTTTATGCAGCAGTATGAGAATAAATTCCTATTCTCAAGAGAAACCCCAAAGGTCCCTTTTTAGGGATAAATGTAACACTTTTTAAAAATTCGATAATTTGAGTTATAGCCAAATTTCAGAAATTACCTCTTTTAGGATAGTCCAAAGATCAAAAAGGTGCACAGAAAAATTTTCAAGATCAAAAATTGAGAATCTAACAGCCCCAAACTTTGCTTAAAGAACCTGACTTCCTTTGCGCACCCTGTATAAGTGGATAAGTAAAATAAATATGCCGGTCAAACCCTGTACGTATTGTCAAAGAGTTGATCAAGAACCTCACGGACACGGCAGGCTGATATCTCTTTCCGTTCCGAAAATATCAAGGTTTGAATATTTAATACTTGACGTCAAGTTAAGTAGCTTGAAAATCAAGTCAAGTAGTAAATCTCTAACCCCAGTTCGCATCTGACAGCCGGTTACTATACTACTATTCTAGTATCTACGCCCTACTCGCCAATGAATAAACTAGCAATATACTCGTATCTTTAGAATGCCAGACCACAGACGACCAGCCATAGACAGATGTTTTGTACTTTTTGGCAACTCATCAGCATTGGCTAGTCTTAGGCTCTATCCAGGATATAATGTCTATCGATATAAGTTGCCAAAAAGCACGAAATGGTTTGTCTGGGATAACAGATAGCTTGCTGCTTCATTCTCGTAGTGGTCGACATTGGTAATAGATCACTATGGTTGAAGTCTTGTAAGTCAGTAGGTCTGTCAGGTCTGGTTGCTCAGATACCAAAGTCAGGGAGAAAGAAGGGAAGAAGAAAGGAAGGGCGGAAGGAGGGAGAGCAAAGAAAAAAGAAGTGCATCAATTTGAGGGGTGCCTTGGCATTGCTAGTTAGCATTCGGCAATTTTAAATTGATCCTAAAATTAATTTTGGGATCGGCTGTTGAAGAAAAATTATAATTTTGGTTGAACCTAAAGTCGCACGATTTAATTTTGTTCACAGTGAGAGTCGCGGCCTTGTGTGCTTGCGAACTTGCTCGACTGTGTAGACAAAGGGTTGTTATGCGATTCTGCTTGACTGTAACGTAGCTGCGCTTGTTATTTGATGTAGTACCTTAGGAAAGAGATGTCAAGGTCTCTGTGAAGGGTCTCGTTGGAAACATACCATGGGGCGTTAGTGATTGTACGCAAGGTTCTGTTCTGCAAAACCTGCAGGCTGCGCAAATGCGTTTTGGCAAGAAAACACCAAGCCGCACTAGCGTAAGTGATCGCTGGTCTAATAACCATCTTGAATAGCCGAACTTTGTTGATCAAACTTAATTTTGATGTTCTACATAGCATAGGGTAGAGTTGCCGAAACGAGATTTGGAATTTAGTTTTTAACGCTTCAGTGTGCTTCTGCCAAGTTATCCCCTTGTCAAGAGTGACACCGAGATACTTAGCAGAGCTTTCCCATGATACCCAAGCTCCATTCACTGAAACCTCAGACGGTGCGCCGCTACGTTTTTTAGTACAATAGATTGCCTGCGTTTTCGAATGATTAATTTTGATCAGACACCGATTCGCCCATTCCAATACCTCGTCCACTGCACTTTGCAGCCTGCCGTGAACTAGATCCCCAGAGCACGACTGGGCCACCAGGGCAGTGTCATCAGCATAGAGATAGGTTTCACAGCTGCTGGGGCAAGGGACGTCATGAATAAAAAGTGAATAAAGGACTGGTCCAAGAACCAAACCCTGAGGGACACCGGCTTTGATGGGCCGTGTTGTCGACAGAACGTTATTAATTTTGATCTGAAATTTCCTACCATCGAGAAAGGATTTCAAAAGTTTTAGGAACCAGAAGGGGAAGCCCTTATGGATCAATTTGTAGAGAAGGCCCTTGTGCCACACCTTGTCAAATGCCTTTGAGACATCCAGTAGCAAGATGCCAGTACTTTCGTTACGGGTGAACCCCCTGGTTACTCGTTCAACAAGCCTTATGGCCTGTAGCTCCGTACTATGCTCAGACCAAAAGCCAAATTGCACATTGTGGTCTGCCGAGAAATTTTCAAGGTGACGTAAAATCACCGTTTCAGTGAGTTTAGAAGGAGCTGACAGTAGACTAATGGGGCGGTAATCCTGGGGGAATAACGAACCCACCTTCTTTGGAATCATTATGACATCAGCGGTCTTCCACGCCGTTGGGAAGTGCTGGGTCCTTAACATGGCATTGATTATTGCACGAGATAAGTTAAGGACTTCCGCGAAAGTAGCTTCAGCGCCTTATTAGTGATTCGATCCTCTCCAGGTGCTTTACGCACCTTGAGGTCTTTAATATGACCTTGGAGCTCTGCTGGTGTGCAATGCGGAGTCTCAGGAGATTTCGCTGATGTGCCGTGCAGCTCTTCAATTAAGGAATCTTCTGAAGATTCCTCTGAGGAAAAATTACTAAGGGAGCACTACTGCCACTGAAGCCGTTGGCCCTAAAATATCTCCTGACGGATCTTACAATATATTGCTCCTCGTCGAGGTCATCATCAAGGTCATAGTTGGGAGAGAACTGACTTTCCATTGCATCAGCGAAACCCTTGACCTTTTCCTTTGTCCTACAGACTATGCCCCTAGGACCGTGGATGTGCGGGAGTTGTTCTCGCTTTCCGTTTCTGAGCGACTTTTCAACTTTCCAGAGAGGAATACTTGAGTCAAGCATCCCCGACAGAAAGTCGCTCCATTGCTCATTACGGAATTCATGAAGAGCATTTCTCACTTCATGAACAAGATTCGTTGCTCTGTGAATGTCATCTGGGTGATGGTAATAGATGTCACGTTCTGCTGTCTTATTTCGATAAACCTTGTGTCCTGGATAGAGCATAGTTTCTTAGCTTTCGTTTGTTATTCTACCTGAGGTCAAGGTTCATGCTGATGAATTGGTAAAGGAAAGCACAAAACAACTGTCCGTGGTTTGCCGTCTGTAATCAGATGGACGAAATCTATATTACTAGACCACTCATCTTTATGCAGTCTCTAAGTAGGACTATTTTTGACAGCAGGAGAGAGAACTTCAGGATCAAAAATCTCAAGGGTATTCAACCTTCCACTCGATCATACAAAGGTTTGTGACACTCAATTTTGATTAGTAAGTAGCAGGTTTGCCCCGATTATCGTCTGCTAATTCAATTTTAGATTTTTTCAAGGCAATTAAATGAGAGAAAAAACAGGTATGGTTGGTAGCCTTGGTAGTCATCACATAAACAACCATAGGACTTCCTATCAGGTGAGTGAAAGACGCAATCAAGATCAATGAATCGTATTCTTTGTACACAACCGCTATGTCCGTCATCATTTTGATGTACATTCTCCATGTTTATAGACACTATTCTTGATATGCTAACAACGAACATTTATTGGTACATCTGGTTTATTCTACCGACTAATTTCAAAACGGTTTCGAATTGTTGTTGTTCATAAACCGGAATTCTCGTAACTGTAAACTAAGCTGATTAACTATTCCCAACCATCTGCAATGATCTCTCGGGAAGTGATTGGTTGCCAGACAAATTCGAATATCACTAGTGTTGAGAAAATAGGTTGTGTGATATTTTTTAATCAAACCGCCAGCTCCTTGTGTATACATTTTATTATATACATTCCTTTATATCAATTACACTTTTAATAAAATCTATACAAATTTTGCAACAAATAGAACCTATTACAGTAAAGTCGTTGTCATAAAACGTAATCTCAAGCAAATTCAAATACATTGCGAAAGGTCTCTCTACAAAAAACAAAGCTTCGAAGGTTTATACAATCTTAAGGTAAGCCTACACTTGCGATCTCTTGTCTTATGTCTTTTCAGACACAAAGCGACAACGATTTACAAACATCGGAGCCACATGCCAGGCTTTTGATATATTTTATGTAGATCAAAATTACAAAGTAAAGTGTTCTACATTGATTGAAATTAGACAGCACAGAGCGCCACCTATTACTGATCCTCCTAGTTTATCGTAACTAGAAATCGCAAGAGTTGAATAAGGCAATGTACGCAGATTTTTGGGTCTATACGAATATTTAGTTAGCAATGTTGATCACCATTATTATATACATACATCCATCACCTATCTTGGTAATAATGGATGGTAATCCATTTATTCGCATCATTCATATTTCAGGACACACCATGATCTTTGCACCGTCAAATTCATCTATACTTTTTGTTACATACGTGAACCTAACGTTATGATCTATGAATACACATTTTCCAAAAAGACAATGAGTAACATATCAAACTGATTGTGCAAAAACTCCAAAATTCAATGGATTTGAACATCTATGTATCCCAAACGAATGCTAATATCAGCTTCTTTGAAGTACACACATCCAAGTACTATCATGAGACTTAAATCGGGCCACGATTATTGTAGCTTTCCATAACAGCTCTCAGCGTATGTGTGCATATTGAGATTATTCTAACCTTTGTATCGTAAATCAATATAACACTGAAGTTCTGAAGCTCCTTAGTGTATTTGTATTGCGATATATTGATGTGTGGTTATTCGGATTATCCCTTATCGCACAGAGATTATTACAGACAATAATGGTTTCTACTTTTTATCGAATCCTTCCAGGTAATGTCTATATCACGGGAAGGTTATTCACCTATCAACTTCAGACAAACGGATAAGATATGATGTCTTGACAGTTTTCCTTCCATTCTATATGAATAATTCCAATTCCTGAAAGCATTTTCACGTCACAGTTTCGATATGATAATATTCCAAATCCAACAAAGACGTTAAGCGGCTCTTAAGGATATACTCGTATTTAAATTTTTCAAATTATCCTAGAATTAAGATTGGTTCGAGTACTAATGAGGAAACATGGTTTTCGAGATATCAAAGGAAAATGCACTAAACATCGTTTACTTCAATTATTATTTTTACCTATGGGTCAATTTTTTCCTGATATCGTTCTTCATGCACGAAGTAGTTTTCCACCGCTGACGTCAGGATTAAACGAATGTAACTGATTTCAAGGCTAAGAAAGAGGCATTTCAGAGATCTTTCCAAAAAATGCCAAAATGCCAGAGACATTATCTACACTTATGAGAAAGACGGCTTGTCATCGTCAGATGAGTGCCTAACGTTAGACTCCAATGGAGCTTTTGGTCCTAAGATCACAATATCTTCCAGGGTACAGGATGATTTTGCAAGTATTCCCAAAAACAGACCATACTGAGTAAATGCCAGTGGTGTCTGTGATCAGTAAAGTCACAAATAAATGTGCCCATATGTAGCTCCTGAAGTAGTTCAGTACTCGATCAGCATTAGGGACTTCAATACCGGCGATTTTCCAGTTAATATTATATGATTGTGGAGTGTACCTATTCCGTCATCTGCTTGTGTGACCGTTCAGGATACGTTCAAGCTTTTTTCCCAACCTGTTGGATTCAAGTTTTATTGAGTATATTTTTGTCAACATTGTTATGTTTAGTTGTTAATGTTTTCTAAAGATAAGTTTGTGGATTGCTCTATCAGGACATTCATTGCACCTCAGCCATTTCTTCTTCCTAGCTACTATATAACAGCTTTACATACACATTCTGAGAGAGCCGGAGAATAAGCTGTAAATCGTAAGGGAGGTGCTGCGTATATCGAGGAGGGTAAACATGAAAAATGGTTATTTCGTGATCGCAGGTGAACGGAACGGAGGTATGGGGATAAGTGATGTCTTTATAACGACGAATTCTGCTTTGTGTTCTGCGACACACCACGCACCCCTGAAAGGTGAACAGCCTTTTTTCTGCACAATCAAAAGAATCCAGTTATGTGGTACTAATATGTTTGATAAACTGTTTTCAGACATGATGAGGTGAAAATACGATCAGTGATGTTCTTAAGTCTATTTTCTTGGATTGCATGCTGGGAGATCAAATATCAGTGAACTGAGATCTATCTCCATGAACGTTCCCCGAATACGCTGGATGTTATACAATGCGTTCAGGAAAATATGACGACATATTAAGCAGCACCCAAAATATGAAACAAAATTGTACCAGCATGGATCCGTCTCTATGTAAAGCGAAGTAAGTTTCTTTATAAAATCCATATTACCGGGGATAAACAGAATGATGTGCTTAATTAAATTCGAGTAGGAAAGTTATATAGACGTCTGCCTAAAAGACTGGCCTCCAACATACAAGGAATCAAAGTTTGAAAAATCGTTTCTTTATTAAAATCTCAAAAATCTTTTTGGCGATTTAATAATTCATTTCTATTTTCCGTTTATTGCAATAAGGCTCTAAGATAGCACTAACAAGAATATAATTACGAATTCCAGTAGCGCCTCTAAGGACAGACGAATAATATTGATACAAAAATGTACGCCACTTTCCACAGTATACTTGGTTTTCAGGGAAAAATAATAACTTCATATCATGCCGAAAAATTGCTGAAATATGACAGCAGACGCCTCCATAGAAGCTGAAGGTGGTCATTTCCAACATTTTTTGTAAACAGGTTGTCAGATTGTTGTTAATTTCCGTACCTTGACTGTTAAAAACTTGTTAAAATAGAATCATTTTAGTGTGATTCATACACGTTGCTTATTGATAGGCCATTTTTCAATGTAAAAAAGCAATTTGGAAAAATATTTCTGAAAAATGCTGGTAATGACCATTTTTTTTAAAATTCGACACCCTATTCCTTGAGAACAAGGCTTTTTTAGCACATATGTTTATATGAACTTTTTTGCTCAAATTTGGTTTAGGAAGGTGTATTTCCAAAATCCGATCTGGTTAGCCTCAAGATACTAATATTGATATAATGTATTTCACTAAGCGTAAAGACTTGCCGGCACTGATGCCAGTGCTATAAGTTGCTCCAGAACTTAATATCATAAGTGTTAATGTATCCTCTGATAACGTGCTTCCAAATATCGAGGCTATATTCAGCATCTTCATCTGGTTTCAAGAAATGTAAGGTAAGGTTTACCAAACATGGATAGGAATGAAGCATATATATGAACTTTATTCGTATATAATGTACCGAATATGCGCTTCATTTCTCCGAAAAAATTCTCTAGAGCATTGTAGATAAGGCAGTTTTGTTCAAAATCACTTACCTGTTATTTAAACGACATCTACAATAATATTTTTCATGGGTCGGTTTAACAGTAGTTGGACACTTTCTGGAATTTGTAAATGCACCTTTGAATATTTTACAAAACATCACTCCGATATCTTTTATAGTTCTCAACTGTCTCAAAATCAAACATTAAAAGTTAATCGCAAGTGTAACAAACTCCGTCATTACCATATGGGCACAAGAGCACGCCCAGGTCCCTTGATTGATGGAGGCCCACAAATGCCTAAAAATAAAACAAAATATAAAAAAAAATGTCTCGTTGCCCATTCTCCAGTGTGCATTGCTCTACCCTAGGGCCTCTACGTCGCTCAAGACTGTCTTGAACTTCAAATCTGTCATCAGTAACTCGAATATGTCACAAAATTCAAAATCATCCAATGTAAGTGACCCTACCGATTTTTCAAACAATGTAGCTAAAATTTATCGTTGTTGAAACTAATTTGTCTTTATATTTCAGTTCCCTTCTCGAAATTTTTTTACTAGCTTTGAACAGATGAGTCTATCTAGATATATCTATAATGTTTCTGCTGACTTTAAGGAAATAATTTCGCTAAAATATCATGATTTTCTGGGTCCGATTCGCCATTTTATGTCAACCTTTTGTCGCCGAATCAAACTAGCACAGCTTATAAATTATATATCTCTGTAGGTTAGGAAAAGATGGCATTGACATCTGAGTAGATGCAAACACATATAGAGTTTCGCAAGAAATATATCAGAGTGAACTGAACGGATACATAATAAATTTGCTTATAGCAACAAAACTCAAGAAGTTGACCAATGGGACTTCCTTCAAGGTTACTACAGACTCGTTTTGTCATTACTAAATTTAATGTTGAACCTTTAAAAAGTTGAAAATTTTCTCTCTATACTAAAAACAACAAATTTTGAACCGACAATTACGACAATACGACTGGTATTGCCACCGTTATTAATAAATAAAATTTTTGCATCTGACAATAAACGTTGGACGTAAAATGGTCAACAGCCCTCGGACTACATCACTAAAATCTTGTAAACAAGCTACAAATATTTACATATAAACAATATATAAGCGAACAAACGATCTATAATTTATTGTCACTTGTTAAAAAACCAATTTCATCAATATCTCAGACTCAAAACAGTTAAACAAAGTACTTCATTCCTAACAAAACCAAGTACAACAGCCTTGCATTCGCTTGCGTTCTCCTACTATCCGATATTTCGTCCTTTTCTGCATCATCTTCAGTCATCAAGACCATATCTTCATCTCCAATAACTTTGTTGTTCATGTAGTTGACACGCGGTGGCGCCTCAGTTGTGGATTCCTGGTACGATGCGTTATCCAAATTGCTGAGCTGGACGTCTTCTTCTCGTTCGGCAGAGCCGAACTGTTCGTTGTAGTCTTCCTCATCGATTGATGGGCCGTATGGTTTGGTCGGGCCTGGGATTTCTGCAAAAGAAGAGCTTCGTTTATATTTTAGCTCTGAACGTTAAAAATTCATAACAAAGATGCGACGAAAACGTTAGATAGATACCCGGGTCGGATATATCCGGGAATCCAAGAGTTTCGGAGTCGGGTAATGCTTGACGAAGAACCCGGGTACCCAAGTATCATCAAGAGTTAGTAAATTCTATGTTTTAGCGTAATAAACTACTGGTGCATCAGAAGAAAGTTCATAAGGATCTGTGCGGGTTCGAATCCCGCCCCAGGAGAAATTTTTCTCTTGGCTATGGATGTTGTGATTGTTCGTAGGTGGTAGACGGTCTCTGACTGTCGAACGCGGAGGTACCACCCGGCGGTTCTCGTAGGCGGAGCCAGAATGTGTGCATGTTGCATGCACACGTGTTCCCTGTTTCCCCCTATAGCACCACGGTACCCCATGGGTGTTTAGGCCTTAGGTCTTCGTGGTAGTTGGAGTATAATAAAAATATGCAGACTCGTTAAAAGAAGTCCTTTTTGAATAAGATTATGCAGTTTAACCAAATCAGATTTTTTTGAGCAGATGCTCTAAGATAGTTCCTGGACTTTTCGTGCTCACTTGTCAATCTCATATTTCATTATTTGTTTACATTTTTATTGTTATCAATTTTTCAGACATATATAAATAGGATACGGGTGATTAACCACACTCAATTTTTCCTGAAAATGTAATAGGTTGGTATACATTATGGTAATGCAGGTACAAACAACGTGAGATTTTATTTGTTTATTGCATTTTATATGTGTACCTACTTCAGTTAGATTTTGGGAACAAGTGACTTTCACGGAAAAGCTTGGTGACCTTCTAAAAGCCAAGTTAGACAGGGTTCCAGGATAATATTTTATCTATTAATCGACATTCCGTTACTGTGTACGATATCAAATTACCAACTGATTTACGAACGCACCTCAGCTGATGAACCGAACGCCGGACATTTGCAGTTTGGTTTCCAAAACCCGTTGTCACGTGGCAGACGGGCCTGTATAGCCATAATCACCGACAATTCGACTACGTTTCATGGGTTTCGCCTTAAAATTATGCATAAAAAACTAACAACTTGAGAATACGGACACGTGTGCTCTATACTGAATTGGTAAGAGTAGTACCACATTGTAAGACGTATAAAACTGTTTATTCACTGTCAACCCGAGAATCCACTATTCTTGGCCGTAAGCCTTCTCGAGAAGCAGCATGTCTCAGCCTTGGTAAATAATGAAAAGAAGTAAAGGTCCAGTTAAATGTAGGAAAATAATACGAATCGAAAATACCGGGGTACGAGGATATTTAAAATAATACCCGATACCCGTGTATCAAAGAAGTCCGAAACTGCTAATGGAAGCCAAATGCTGAGGTATCACGACTCAACTGCTTAATGATAATAAAACAGAAGAAAACCTCTTCTGGCAAGTCGTCACACAACCTTGATACCTCAGGGACAAAGGAGCGGTCGTACCGGAAAGATTTCAGTGTACACTAATCGACGGAGTAAAAAAAGCCTTTCGGATTCATCCGTCAGGCCTCGAGCAACGGCAATATCAACTACGAGTAGAACGACCCAATCTAAGGTCGGGCGGCGTGCATTGCCATCTTGTGGTGGCCTTCACTGAAGGTAGTACGAGATTGCAGCTGTGGTTGCAGCTAGGACAGTCTAGCTAATATTAAATTCTGCGGGGGCGGCACGGGGTGCTGTAGTGGTACAAGGACATCCCAGGCTTCCACAGCAGAGTCGCTAGTTAAGTTTCCGGAATTTATTGGTACATTTATTTGGGTGATGGAATTTTTAGCTCAGATGGTGATTCAATACTGAAGGTAGATGATTATTTTTATTATATTTGTACTTTTGGGCTCTATTGTTTATATAACATAATACCTGATTTCATGTAGTATGTTGTAGATTTAAGGTTCCTTTTAATTAAAAAGGTGGATAGAACATTGTTTTATTTATCAACAAACAAAACCGTTGCCCTAAGAGGATATCTGCCAGTCGCAATATGGGGTTTCCTTTTGCGGCCATCAAAAGTCTGACTTTTAAGTGATCCAAAGAAGTTTGAAAAAGAGTGTGTGTCAGATCCGGCGATATGTATGCGCACTTACCCATGCTCAGGGTTTCATATAAACATCAGCAAATATGCAGCAGCCAAAAGTCTTACTCCGCCACTGGGTCAAGTATCTTTTTGACAGTTTCGTCAGGTAAGGTCATCCACAAAAGTCCGTTCTGCCCTGCTCTTTATCCTCTTGTCAAAGCTCGTAAGTTCACAGCTCGCATTTCCAAGGAATTCGTAATTTTTGAGTAAAAACCCTTTCATTAACCAACGCCGACATTATTTATTTCAGCCCAAGCGACTCGAGCGTTGTACATCTCCATATTTGCATTAACACAGCTCGCTAGGGGCCATAGCCCATTTCCAAACACACATATAACTGGGAAGGAGTAATAAGCATAAAACCTATATATTTCGCTAGCCCGCTTGCGAGAAAAATAATCCAGAGGAGACAATTTTCGGAGACTGAGGGAATTTGCATTTTCTTCACTCTGGTTTTTTGTTCCCTTCAGCAGGTTGATGCATATCTTTTAACGAACGTGTAAAGTGAAGAAGTGATAAGGACGACCCCCTTTTTATATGACCCTATCTAAGCTTGATATTGCTTTGATAGTACAGGTAATTTGGGAGAAACCAAACAGATAATGTCAATAATTTACCTGACAAATTAAGTATATGATAGTTACCTGATTACCATGACAGAATTTACCGCCTAACACGTAATTAATAAAATAAGACAGCACAAAGTGCCAACTATTACTAGAATCGACCACTGCGAAAGTAAAAACAGCAAGAGTTGCTTAATAGCATGAAATAGCTGTCCACGATTGGCTATTTTGACATGTGATTACTATGACCTCACTGGAAACGACTGCCTTAGTAAGAAATATATGCAAATTCATTGAATTATCAAATTTTACACATTGATATAAGCCTACTTAAAAGTTTTGAACGAGGTAGATGCCAGATGGTTAAAAAAACTTCGAAAACCAAGAAATCTGTGAAAAATGATCAGATAAAAAAACTGTTTAATAACGAGAAACCCTTTTTTGTCCTTAGACTGGTAGTAACCTTCCATCCAAAAGGTATATGTCCACGTCACAAATCAACCAAAAAATATTTCCAAGATTCCGTACCGCTGTTCTTTGTTCCACATTTTGAGTTATTAAGGAAAAGCCATACTTCTACCAGCCAGTTCTTCACGTACATGCCACCACTGAGGCTTAAGAAGCAGAATTCGGGTAATGCCGTCTGACAGACTCAGAAAACGGAAATTGCGTGTTAAGCTTGTATCCCCGATTAGTCCAGTAGCCCTGATTTGAAGCGCGTTAACCGTGAACATTGGAGTTCCCAGTCCTCTTAAGTTCAGTTTAATTACAAACTTGATAAGGAAGTACTCGCATACTCGTACAGGTTTACGGCAATTTCAGTATGGAGCCAACTACCGTCAATTCCAATTATTACAAGCTACACCTGATATAGGACTCCAACAGGGTAGAAGTGTAGAACATACTGGCCTACTCCAAACAAATAACTCAAATTTCTCGAAGCAGCTGTTCCAGTTATCGAGCCATGTTCATGCCAAAACATACACCTAGGATACTTTGAACCAAGAATCAGAAGCAATTGCCGATTGGTTAACCAAATGTTCATTTGGGTACCACTTATTTCAGAGAGATATTTAAGAAAGTAATAACACATCTCTGTTCTATATAAGTAAGGATTCTGCAGGTCGAATCATACACAGAAGCCAATCTGATACTCACAGAAGCAATATAATGGCTACAGCTGATCCCCGCGTTCGTACTAAATGAAAAGACAGTTTTCAATTCCAGTAGACAACTTACCACCTGAAGGAGTGTCAGCTATCTTCAAGCTCTCCTTGAGACGCCGTAGGTCAAAAGTTTAGCTCTGGAGAGCATGATCGAAAACCTCTGTAACATCCCGAACAATGAACTGTTGGTTATGCGATATAAATATTCCAGAAATCCCTTATTGAAGCATTGACGAGCTGGCTGGTATGAACTCTCTCCTATTGCACTACAGTCCATACAAAACCTCAGACTCCAACATATCATATTCCATATCAATAGATTGTATTTAATGCACCTCTCTTCTACCGGCTTCCACAAGTCGTGACCAAAAATGAAATATCATACACATGACCACAATTTCAAGGGAGGTCTTCTAAGTAACATTTTTTTCTCATTAAAAAGGGTGTTGTTGTTTAAAAATAATTTTCTTTTTCAATATCCTCAAAACTGTCAACTGGAATGAACTAAGAATTGATATGTGGATTTACCTAAATATTGCCCACATTCAAAAGTCTTTACTCAAAATTATCGTGCAGCAGTGGCGTAGATACAGGGATTGGTGGCTTTCTTTTTCCAAATAAAGATGGTACGCCACTGTGTTTTTTGAAGCCTGCACCGTTTCGAATTTTACCTTCAGTTTGCTACAAAGAATAACTTTGGTATTTTTTCCTAGAGTGTACTGTTTAAAACAAATCAGATCATTCAGGAAGAGCCGAGATACAATTAGTTTCAAAATAAAATAGGAGGCCTTGATACCAACTTGACGTTTCTTGGTAGATAGTCTGTCAAAGTCATGTGTTCTACAGTTGTTATAGTAACTACTACCACTTTTTTTTGTAAAAGTCAAGTAAAATTTTATTTTTTTCCATTTTTGAGTGTTGCGAAATGGAATTTAGCAATAATGAGTACGCCGATATTTTTGTGTACGGGTTCTGTAATGGAAATGCTTTAGAGGCTTCTCGGGAGTATCAATGTAGATTTCCTAACAGATGCCAACCTACCCCAAAGGTTTTTACGCGTACATTTCTAATACTTCGGCAATATGAAATTACCAAGCTTCCCGGAGTTAGAGGCCATGGTGTCCGACCTACTGTTCAAGAGGAACTGGAAGTA